GACCCAAAAACAAGTTAGGTAATGTATCTCTGTGTTTGTAATTTTCCTTATATTCGTCCTATGTTGTCTCACCCTGTACTCTGTTCTTTTGACAGACCGCGATCTACATTCTAACTTTTCTACCAATTATACCACCTATATATTCTCGTATAAAATAAATTCATTTTTTTAGCGAATTTCCACAAAAAATGCGCTATTGTGCCCACCTTGTCTGTCCATCCGTCCGTCCCTACAGTTGTTCGGTCGTTACTAGTTCTTTATCTTAAGAGGTATTGTTCTACTTTTTTCGTTATTTGGTTCGTTACCTATGGTATGGAAATAGAGGGTTGCACCAAGAAGGATTTTTTCTGTGCCGCTTACAAAAAATCAATTTTTTCCATGTACCTACCATCAGTTTAAACGTTTGCCGTTTATTAACGATCCTCGAGATCGTTTATAATGTTGTATTACTGTCTGTCCGTCTGTCTTTTTGAATTCGGTAGCTTATTCTGGCACCTGAGCCAAGAAAAATCGTGACCATTAATGTGCGCATGCGCAGGCTGCGCAACATCAACTGTTTCATTTTGTTTAAATTTTAACCACAGATACTTCTAGTAAAGGTAATATATAGCATAGTTTCTTATTTATGGAGATATTTTTTTTAAATTTAGCCAAAGATGCTTTTCATAAAAGCAATTAATTACAGAGAAACCGCGCTTTAAAGTGCCAATATTTAAAAGGTTAAAATTTCAACTAACGAATGTATAGCTCGAAATAACCTCCTCTATATCTTTCGCCGGGGGTAAATTTTGTTAATTTAGCAAAACGTCTGTATAGGGTGTGTAGAGTGTTTATTTATATATTTATGAACATAACTGGTTACCCCAATAACGTTGTTCATGTATTGAAAAAAAAACTATTCGAAAACATAAAGAATACCTAGATATATAAAAAAAATATATGTTAAACTTTTTTCCTCCAGAAATTTTTGAGTAATCATTCTATTCCAAAATCATTGAAAAATGTAGGTAAGTGCGTTCCCGTTCGTACTTGAAGGTAATAGTAGGTATGAAAGTCAGAAGAAACCATTGGACGCTGCAGAATCAGACACTGAATTTATAGGTATAGGTAGATAGCATTCAATAAAGGTTGTTACAAAATATAATCTTTTGGTATAGGAAAGCTGTGCTCTGCAACACACGCCAAAAACCATGTGCAATGCCTAACTTATAATTATTTATAAAAAAATGTAAATAAATGTATAGGTACCTATACCTACAAAAATTTTGCCACCCCGCCATAGCTCTGAAAGTAAGGATACCGGATCGCTATTGTAAAAAATCTGTGGATCCTTGTATACCTAACCTGCCTCCTCGTTGTTTCGGCGATTTCCTCAAAAATAAAAACATTAAAAAAATCAAAGTACCTAGACCTAGGACTTTCAAAAGCACCCTTGATTTATCGAAATTAAAATTATGTCACAAATTAGATTCCATTCAAGCAGGGCTGATCCACAGCCGTCTATAATTACAAGCCATGCTGAGAAGTTTGGCAACGTTGTTCGAAAGTCAATCGGTGGGCCGATGTAAGTTTTAATGGCGTCTTGTTGCTCTTGAAAAATCGCATTTTCTTCTCCCCTGTGTTTCGCCTTGGCGGTTTTAATATAGAAGAAAGATACTTAGGCAGCTTACAATTGTGCATATATATTATTTATTTACAAAAATGGATAATAACATTTTTATTTAACTTTAAAATTCGGAACGCTGTAAATTGGTAACTGTATCATAATGTGTTTTCCATCGAGATCTCCGAAATTGGTGAACTTCTGTCGAAAGAGGTCGAGGTAAAGCACACGCTTGAGCACTTAATTTCGGTAAAAGGACAGTAAATCGCTGCGCATCAGCGAGGTTATATCAACGAACAGGTGTGATTCGGAATGGCAGACTTTAAGCCAGTCGCTACTCCAGTGAGTCTAGGTACGAAGCTTTTAAAGAGGGGATCACGCTCTGTTAAAACGGGTAAATAGGAATATTACACCCAAAACACATATAAAATACACTCAAAATCTGTCAAGTTGAATTAGGAAATCGGCCTACCATGCAGTGTTGCCATAATTCTCAGCACGGCTTGTAATTATAGACGGCTGTGGCTGATCCATAGAAGCTCAAAATTCAAATCAAAAGGTGGCTGCAAAAATCAGTACTTTTCTTTTACTGCCCCGGTTACAAAAATTTGCGCATTTCATTTGTATCTAGCATCCGTTTCAGTATGTTTATAGTTCAATTGATTACCAAAATAGGTTTCATGCTTTGCTATTATTCAATTTACGACAGAAATTATTTATAGTACTTATGTAGCAGATCTTTATTCAATGAAAGGGCCGAGTTCTCCGTGTGACAGAGCCAAGTCCCTTTTAGGCCCCTCGTCCCGTTATCCTGCGGTATGGTGTCATTCTAAAAATGTTCTAACAAGAGAAATTAGTGACCTATATATTTCTCCTACACTCCTGTGTATAGGGTACATTATAGTCATATACACAGCCTCGTAATTACGCTGCTATAACGTTGACAAATAAGCAAATAAACAACTCATTAATTTAATTATAATAAATCCTCACATAGGTAATTGCCGGATAATTTCGTCTAATTTTGTTATTCGCATATTAATACATTAAATGACATTATATTGATTATGTTTTTGTAGACAAATGCGTAATTGTGTTATGAGTAACCATTGACCATTTTTCGTTCTTTTGGATAGATACCGTCTTTTAATTTTCACAATCAATCGAATACCATGAACATATCATTTCACAAAACCCAATTTTCAAATTTTTTACTAGGAATGGGCGATTATGCCTTTAATACTCTTTGAAGGTGTATAATAGCTACATATCTATACCTACGTTTTTATCGGTTATATTTTGACGACAGAATGACATATGGATTTTTTAATAGCAAACTTTTGTCTTTTTAAAGTATTTCTTTGAAATTACGGATTGGCTAAAATACGAAATTAGGTACCAAAGAAATGAAACGTAGGTACTACCTATTAAACACGAATATTTTTACGAGAAGACCAATAATCAAAAAATATACCTAAAACTGTTTTTTACATACTCTTAGTGCCAAGATCTAAAACCTTCATACGGTCAAACAAATTTATTAAGTATAATATTAGTTGTAGGTACTTGAATGTTCAAATCAATTAGGTTTTAACTTTGACATTTTTGTTCTCCATTTTTTTTTAGATAAAACCTAGCATAATTGGTGAACACAGAAAAAGAAAGTCTTCCGTATAATTTAATAAAAATTTTCCGCTGCTCTTTGAAAAAAAAAGTTCGATGCCGTTGCGGCGCTCCAAAAATTTTTTTTTAATCGGGCCCGCTATTTTCCGTTTCCGTATGTCTAATAGGTATATATAGGTCTAATATATATGCATAAGTTTGAACAAAATCCGTCGAGCCGCTATCTTGGAAAATGGCCAACCAACGTACCTACGTGCTACGTCGTATACGTAAGTCATTGACAAAGGTAATGATCGCCGAATTGGTAAATTCTGCTGCAGTATAGTACGCAACCAACATTTGAATATATTGTGCAACTTGGAAATGCCATCTACCAAATGCTTATACCAAAGTAAGGTATCTCCTCCTTCAAGAAACCGACTGAGGCCGATGTGATAGGAATGTTGGTTGCTTATACTGAAGAGTTTACCTATTAGGCGATCATTACTTTTGTCAATGACCGTACATACAGACGGAAAAAAATTTGATTCTTTAAAAGTTGCTTAAAATGATATAAAACGTCGATATATGATTAAATTTTGACGTTTGATGTCCAAAAACCTATAGCTCAAGGTACCTATAGTAGGTTGCGAAAAATTCGCCATAAGTAGGTATATAAGTAGGTAGTGGCATGGCCTAATATACCTACTCTTATTAGGCCATGGGTAGTGGTACCTATTGCCATAGAGCCTTAGACCAATTGGTCTACCTATATATGGTATTGCGAAGGTTAAAATAATATCACCCTGTACAATTATGATATACCTATAGGTACATTAGTATTTACCGATTTAAATTAAAAATGTTTCTTTCACAACGAATTTCATTTTAATTTGATACTTTTTTGTTTGCCTTTCATATGCTTCAATTTTTTCCGGCCATGAAAATATAGTACCTACTTTTTGAGTTTGAGTTTTTGAGAGAAATTAAGCCAGCACAATAGATTTTTGTCATTTTCAATGATAGGTACCCACCCGTAATACAGGCATTTTACCGACGGTCATGTGAAGTAAAGAATGTAGGATACCTATGGGTATGTTTAGGTCAGTGGATTTCGATGCCGGTTAAATAACTCCAATTTCCTATAAGTATAAAATCAATTTCGATTTGTTTATATTTTTGATCGTATTTTATTTTTAAGAGACTCTAGGTACAAACCACATTAGAAAGTAAAAAAAACGCATACAGAACAATTTTTAGCTAAGTAGGTATAAGTGTATGATAGGTACCCGTCACTAGCGACTTGGGAGTAGGTACATTAAGATTTTGAAAAAAAAGAGGAAACACGGTACAGCAAATAACTTTTCTTTGAAAATTGGACTATACACTAAATTCGATCCGCGAAAGCACTCACCTAAGTTTGCTTATGTACTTACATTAACAAGCAAAGTTCTAATTTTTATTATACAAACCGAATTGAAATTTTAACACGCGAAAAATTTAACCAGCCTCTGGTTTTTATTAAGTACATTTTGTTCCCTTTCAAAGCGGTTTTTGTTTAAGAAAATAAATCCTAATATTGACATCGCCAACATTGACTTTTTGAATACATTTAGTTATAATAAAAGCGTAATTGTTTTATCCGCGCGCGTAATCTTCGGGGCTCTGCAAAATGAATTAAACGCGATTGTACAGAGTGTTCTAAATTTGCATATCGCTCTTTTATAACTTTGAAGTGTAGGTATCTTGTAAATGGTAAGAAAAAGCGGAACGTTTGAGAAGCAATTTAATTTACCTTGCAATCCTGAAAGCTGTCTCACTATTCACTTTCGGAAATATCCAGGAAAACACTTCAGGTGATGATTTTTTTTGAGTTTGTCAGTGAACCGTACAACTTATAAGTTTGACACTTAGATGATTCGTTAGTGATGAGGCGACGGTTAAGGCGTCGGTCCGTAGGTGAGTGTAGTTGTGGCGTCCACCGGCAAAGCGTTACAATCGCGTAGGCGTCACCTGATAACTACAGTTATACGGAAGCGGCCATTTAACCAATGAAATCACTGTATAAACCTTCGGTTGCTATGGCGCTTGTCGCCATTTGTCTGCTATTGGCTGACCGGTTTCCATGGAGATTTCCTCCCCTGACGATTTTGTATTTGACTACCTAAAGCTTGGGGTACTTCACATCGAGCTTGTAGTATCTAAGTAAACAGGCAGCGAGGAGTATTTGTTTTTCCAATCAGTGCTGGTTTGGAATACCTAAAGTGTTAACTTGTTTGTGGACCGGTCGTGATGTAAACAATGATACAAAACCCCCTGATGACGAGTTAAGATCATATCGATTGATACGTTTGTTTATTTCAATCGATTTGAATACGAACCATTACGTAACGCGCTGTTTTTTTCAGTTTTATTACGCGTGTTGCGAGTTCGTGTGTATGTGTATTGGTGATTTTAATACAGAGTGCAATAGTACGGTGCAATGTTTTCGTAATTTAATTTAAAGAGACTCGATTATGTTGACCCAAAAACTGTACGCGACCGAATCGTCAACAATGGCGACAGCAAATCCGATGTCTCCAATGACGTCTACTTACTCCATGAACTCGATGTCGTGCGTTTCAATGGCCTCGATGAATTCGTGCTCTCCGCAAACTCCGGCGTTCGGCACCAGCATGCTCAATTCCGGCATGCCAATGACGACGATGTCCATGAACGGTAATTGCATGTCTTCGTCGGCGATGGGGTACAGCGCCATTGGATCACCGATGAGCAACATGAACGCGGCCTGCATGGGAAGCACCATGTCGTCGATGAACGGCTACGGAGCGGTTGGCGCTTTAACAGGACGAGGAGATTTAAGCGGCGGAGATACTTCCCCGAATTCGGCGCTACAGCGCGCACGTGCCGATAAAACATACCGAAGAAGTTACACACACGCAAAACCACCCTACAGCTACATATCGCTAATAACAATGGCGATACAAAACAGTCCCAGCAAGATGTTAACCCTTTCCGAGATATACCAATTCATCATGGACCTATTTCCGTTCTACCGACAGAATCAGCAGCGTTGGCAGAATTCGATTAGGCATTCGTTGTCGTTCAACGATTGTTTCGTTAAAGTCCCGCGAACGCCGGATAAACCGGGAAAGGGTTCGTTTTGGAGCCTGCACCCGGATTCGGGGAATATGTTCGAAAATGGCTGTTACCTCAGGCGACAAAAGCGATTTAAGGACGAGAAAAAAGAGGTGGTACGCCAGCAGCACAAGCCGACGCACGGCACCAGCTTAGAAAAGTCGAATAGCGGTAAAACGACGCCTTCTCACCACGGTGACGACGGTCACAAAAATCATCACCTAGATAAGACTGTGGAATCAAATTTATCATCGATGCTAAGCATACACCCCGCAAAGCTAGACGTAGATCAAATGAATCTTTTACATCACAGCGATTTAGGAATGCACTCGCAGCATCACCAACAGAATATGTCGCACGAGGAGCTCTCCGCGATGGTCAACCGAGTGCACCCCATTTCGTTGAGCAGCGAGGCGATGCTGCACCACGGCGCGATGAACCACCTCAAACAAGAACCTTCCGGTTACACTTCGGCCGACCATCCGTTTTCGATAACCAGGCTACTTCCAATGGAAAGTAAAAGTCAGGTGAAGATGTACGGTGATACCCAATACCCTTACAACGGACTCGCGCCTTTGCCCAACTCGATGCACGCACATGCATCCATAGGAAACGACTACTACAACACCCCCTTATACCACACCTCAACGGGCACCAGCAGCTTGTGACAGTACCCTCTTGCTTAAGGGGCAAGTAAGAATTTCATTTGTATATAAAACCTCGTTCCAATTTTTTTCACTACATGAGTGTAAAACATCGAAAACTTTTCCCGCAGTGAGACTCTTTTCATTTTTACATCAAATTTCACCATACTTACCTATATTACATGTTTGAAATCTCAAAAAATCTCTCGATTTGCCGTATTTTCGAATACTTCTCAACTTTATTTATCAATTGCTTGTGTTTTTTTTAAGTGATCGGATGGATTTGTTAATATACCTACCTAAATTTTATTTTAAGAATTGTTGATAATTTTTTTAAATCTTTATTGTAAATAATATTGTAAATGTATCTATTATATATATAAATGTAAAATTTTCACAAATATTGTGATGTTTTCTGAGAATATTCTCCTTAAAGTGGATGAAAAATGTGCAACCTTCTCTAGAATGCGACGAAATGGAAATCGTGTACATAATAAATAGTAGAGGATTGTATGTTATGTATATTTAATTTTTGTCACAATAAATGTTTAAGATTTTCTCATGTTTTTACTTCGTCGGGAATCGGATTTTCATATAATCTGCGATTATCGATGTTCAAGTTTGGGTATATAATTTTGAGGGCGTTTTATAACGAAAACTTTAAAAGATCATAGTAAATAAATAGGTTAGGTATAGGTACAAGTTTCATTGACGTACCTACCTACCTATAGGTATGCTGAGTAACGCTTATAAAAATATTTGAGGAACAGTTTCTGGAATATTGAATGCGTTATCTATAAGTAAGTATAATGTTTTTAATTGATTATTTCTTTCACATAGGTATACCTAAGTAAAATAATCAGAATAGCTATGATGGTTAGGTACCTATACTGGCGATATTTCAGCATTTATGTATTTGCATAAACGTCAAAGTTTTACCACCGGTTAAAAACTTGTCAAAATTTTTTACGTAGGTACCTACCTAATTTAATATTTATTCGGGAAATATCCGGCGTGCCTTGATTAGCTAAACTTTGTCGTTTTTCGTTAAACAGTTTTTCTAAGGAAAGCGTGCAAACGTCAAAATTGAATCGGCTATTTTTGTGCACTTAAGAGATAGGTAATATTACTGTTGAATAAAATCACATTTTATTGTTCGGATTTCTATAAAGATGAAAATTTTCTTCTTGTGGCAGTAACGAAAATGAAAAACTCGAAAAGTGAATAGATATTAAAATCACCAATGCGTTGAAATTTCTGTTAAAGATTCTAAAAGAAAGCCTGTAGGTACCTATAAGGCCAAAACGTCAAGGATGCAAATTAGAAAAAAATGTTCATGACTTTATTATATTAATCTCATTATTGACTCTAAGGCACGTTCTTGATTCTGTTAGGTACCTTCTCCTACCTAATTCCATCGTTTTGATTTACTAGGCAATTGTATGAAGAATTTTTTATTTACTTTTAGGTAATTTAAAAACGTCATGTCAGTGGGTACCTACCAAATTTAATTTTCTTAGCATACCTAGGTATAGAGAAATGTTACTTTTGCTCATAAGTTCGCTTAATTGGCGATTTCTACCTACCTACTATATGAATCAAAATTCGAAAAGGGCAATTGCTTTGTTAAAACTTCAAAATTATTCTATATGTATACCTATTATAGGTAGGTATACCTGCAGAAAAGTACTATCAAAGATTGATGCTTTCCGAAAAAGCAATTTTTTTAAAATTTAATACCTACCTGTAGGTACCTACCTATACTTATCGATAATTCAAAATTGCAATCGACTTCGAACACTTTGTGTCTGTTTTAAGGTGATCAAAGAAACCTCAGATCCTCTATAGTTTTGTATCGGTTCTTTTGTCGCGCCCGTTCGTCTGTGTTCGCTATCCCTTAGTTAAGATCTCCAGACATAGGTGTACCTACTTTATAGCATTTAATTTTTGTCCGTCCGTCCGTGTGCGCTACATAACTCTTTTTAAAAGTGGCCGATCAGGTTGAAATTTGGTGTACGGGTACTTTGGACGTTAAGGTAGAATTTGATTTTCAGGAAGCTATAGCTCAACAGGAACAAAAGTTGTTACAGGGTTCCCATAGTAGGTATATATATCTCGGTAGGTACATATCGAATGTATATAACATTTTTCTATATGAAAGTTGTTTTTAAATATTTTATTTCCCATATTAAGGCAGCATTCAGTCGTCTTATTTCACAAACCAAATGAGTAACGAAAAACAATTGACTTTTTTTAAATGGTACCTTTTCATTAGGTTCATTTGATGAGAAAGGAAATTTTTCAAAAAAATTATTACAATTACATCAGTAACATTAATCTAGATATCCTACATCAAAATAAAACAAATGAACGTGTGTATACGTTTTTTATTAAAAACCTTAAAGACAAAATGAACCTATAGCTTTAAAATGGTTGTCAATGTTCCAAAATTTTGCATTATTGAACTGCAAGGCAGTGAACCAACCTATAAGGGAAAGCTTGAAATTAATGTCTGAGTATTCTGGGAGAAATTGCTACCGCAATTATTGCAATTTCGTTTTGCCTTCAAGAAACGTACACGTTCATTTGTTTTATTATGATGTAGGATATCTAGATTAATGTTATTGATGTCATTCATTATAACAATTTTTTGAAAAATGTTCTTGTATAATGTTACCTACATCCTTGAAAAGAGAACAAAAATTCCGGATAATGAAAGGGTGCAGTTTTATTTAAAAAAATTGAATTGTTTTTCGTTAAGGTATAATTTGTTTTCTAAAATTAAAGCAACTTAATGCTATCTTATTATGGGAAATAAAATATTAAACAACTTTCATACCTATAGAAAAAGTTTGTATACAGTTGATATTTACGAAGATATATACATATATTCCATACATAATGGGCACCCTGTATGACTTCGGTTATCGAGTTGTATACTTTGGTGGCAACAAAGGATCTTTGCAGGATTTCCCATATCATTACTCTCTTTATTTTGCATGTTTATGTTATTACAAAAACTGTACTTATTAGATATCATCATATCATCAGGCAGTGTATAACCTTCCTTTTTTACCAAAAATCGACTACACCAAAATTTCTCGGGAAAACACTTTTTCTTATTAATTTTGGTGCGTAGAATCCAAAACAATTCTTACTTTTTCGATTAGACTTCTCAATCAAAAGTTATAGACTAGAAACCAGGGCCTAATCCAATCTCAAAATAGATTTTTTATTATACCTACCTGAATCACAATCTCCGTTTTAAACACTCAAATGCGTGCGAAAAAGGCCTTTAAAACACACGTGATTTAAAGTTGCTAAGTAACGATACTTCAAGTATGACTTTTGAAACTGTCATCTGGATGAAATAAAACATCTTAGGTCGCTTTCTGTAAATGCAGAACATTTCTTTGGCTTTTGTACCTATCCTTTGGTTAAAGCTTTCACTAACGCGCGTAATTTAGGGTATGCTTCCAAATCTGTTCCACTTTTAATCGCAGCGTTGTTTGAAGTTTTGAGTTAATGCACCAAAAGATAGGAGATTTAAATACCTTTGGCATTTCCTTCATATATCCCAGCATTATCGATGCATTTAAGAGTTTATTCGTAAGTAACTTCCTTTTCATCCATGGAAACAACTTTTCATATTCTTTATAATAGGCTTTACTAGATTTGGATTTTACACCTACCAACGTTTGTTTAGATTTTACAACAAGCGATTTAATGGACGTTATCTTTTTCAACGGAAATCGTTTTATTCACAAAGACGACGATTTTTATAAGCAAACGTCAAGTGACATTTCCATGGCAATCGTGAAATTTCGAACACCCAGCCCACTTAATTAAACATGTATTCTAGTATAACGTCAATATGACTTCATTGTATTACCTATTTTTAAATTATACTGCAGGTATAATAATAGTACATTATATATCAAGGTAGAGAAGTACAGTATTATTGCCTGAGCACCAAGATTACATCTCGAGGCGCTTGCGCCGAGGGGTGTAAGGGGCGAAGGCAATAATAGACTTCTCTACCGTGGTATATATACTATTTTTTTCACTACTAGCACTTGAAATCCTCTAAATTAACATATTTATTTGTTACTCAGTTGTAAACGTTGATTAACAAGACAAAACGCAAACGGGTAAACGTCATCTTTAAACGCTACTGACTTGTAAAACTGACAGCAGACCTGTAAAAATTTTACAAGTTAGAAATCTAGTATATTTCATTGGCCAGAATTAATGCGAAGTCTCTGTTACATGGATAACATGATATTTTAGACATTTCTTCAAGATTAATTTAAGAACTAATTATTTACGTTTACTATTGTTTTCAAATGAGTAACAAATAAAATATTGTACATTATACGCCAGGTAATAGTTTTTACTGGTTCTAGGAGATGACAAGCTCGCCTAACGGCTCGCTAGTCAACTTCTCCTATCGCCAGTAAAAACTCACTTACCTGGCTAATAATGTAAAATACTATATATTGATAAGAAAGTGAACGGTTGGACAGAATTTTTTGTTTCTTAATTTAACATGTCAATCAAGTACGTAGAAGTACAAGTCAAACAGGCCGTATTTTGTTCTGTCATTGAGATATTTTCAAAGAGTAATTTCGTTCGAATTTTTTCAAAATGTGATAATTTTAGGTATGTAATTTCTCTGGAAATGGCGGATGGTGGCAATTATTCATTTTAGAGATCTTGTCCAAACGTTTATTGAGCGAAATTTCGGGTTATGTTTTCTAAAAGTGACAGCGTGACAGTTCTCATTATTGACTACTAGTTAATAATGTCCACATTATTAACCACTTTGAACAAATGCCGAGAAAACCTACTTTACAAGTGGAAAAAAGGTTAATAATCATGTCATCAGACGCTAGTAGTGAAAAAAAAAATACTATAAGATACACGTGTATAATTGGTCTTTAAAGCACTTGCAACGTTAAAGGCACTCCGCTTTGCGTCGTGCCCTTAAACTCGTTGCGCGTGCTTTAAAGACTTTATTATACACTTGTATCTTAATATACTATTTTTTATAAAAACGCAGTGATGAGAATTGGGCGGTACCTTCATTCAGTCTTCCAGAGACTGTACAGAAAGGGGTAATTTTGCTTCTTCTAGTTTCAGATTCCTGGCTGCTAGGTCTGTTTCATTCGATAAAATATCAAATTTGGCTTCATTTCTGTAACTTTTCAAATTTTCCAGGGTGGAAACGACCTTGCCTTGCGCATCATGAAAATTCAGTTTCGTATTTGTTAAAGATCGTTGGAAAAAAGACCACG